ATTTCATCCAGTTTTTCTCAGTCTTATCCCCACCCCAATGCCAGCCTCACTGTTTTTAACATCACACCATAAAGGTGAGTAAGAGAGGTGAAGCGTGCACGTGTGTCCCATTCGCTATCCTGCTGAGGCTGCCGATACTCGTTTACTGACCTGATTCTGTGTGTAAACGTGCCTTCTGGGTGGACAACTCATTTATTAGTCGTTGCTGCTCTTCTTCCTTCGTTTTTACCTCACTAAGCTGGTCCTCTAGGGTGCGGCACATCTTCTCCAGGTTTCCCTGCGGTAGCAGATAGGAAAAAGGAGAAGACAATACATTTTTGTTTTATTTTTATTTGAGACTCTGGGATCTGGAGATCTGTTACTTCTGGCGGCCAAGTACTGAATTTTATGTATAATTCTATCTCCTTCAAACCTACTCCTAGGACTTTAGAACTACTAGACACATGCATTTTTTAGATAAATGAGTGAGGAAGTGATAATCCTTGTTACATTATCTTCTTTGGGAAAACGTGAACATTATTTAAATGTTCCTTTGGGTAGTGTTAGAGTCCTTTCTCCTCCCTCTAATAATTGCATTCTTTTATGGTAGCTGTGACAAAGTTTAAAGTGATTTCCACAAATAAAATTTGAAGACTAAAAGAATTCAATACATTGATGATTATTAGGGATAATTTGTAAACTTGAGATGACAGCTATATTTTGTGCAGCTAGACTGTATACAGACATAAAAAAACCTGGGCATTTGGAATCATTGCAAATGAAGATAAAAATGGGACCAACTGATACAGACCTTGGCTTTGGAGACCGTCTCCATGTTGCTAGCAAGGTCGTCAATCTCCATCTTGAGCTCACTCTTCTCCTTCTCCAGCTTCTGTTTGACCCTCTGCAGGTTGTCGATCTGCTCCCCAAGCTCAGCCACACTGTCCGCGTGCTTCTTCCGAAGAGCAGCCGCTGTGGCCTCGTGCTGCAGGGTGGCCTCCTCCAGGTCTCTGCGCATCTTCTGGAACTCGGCCTCCCGCTTCTTGTTCATCTCAATCTGGGCTGAAGTCGCCCCACCAGCTTCCTCCAGACGCTCGCTGATCTCCTCCAG